CGGTCTCCTCCTGTACCAGTCGGATCTGATTTGATGGTACATGCACACAAAAATAATAAAATAAAATAAAAAAGAAGCTGTAAAATGCACACGAGGAGACCGCCTATCCTTCTCCAAGATACCTTTTACCTAAGATCAATTGTGGTATCTGAGTAACTATTATCAATAGAGAAAGAACGATTTATGCTGGTTAAAAATACTTGAGGATTCCATCAAGGCCTAGGAAACTAGTTTGAAGACAGGGGAGTATATGAGAGCCTTAAAGAGTTTCCCCAAAACACATACATTGCCACTGAGCACAGCAGACCCTGACACCTGGGAGACAGCCAGAAACCGCTTACCAATCCCTTTGGGCTAGCCTAAGCTAACCCTCTCCTTTCTACACATCAATCACTCCCTTTTGAGACTCACGAATTAAGAGGGGGAAAGAGGTAGGGAGATGAAATAATCTGTGTTTTTAATCAGTTTCTCAGTTAATATACTACGTGTGGCTTTCAGAAAACTGTAAAATCTCCCTGCACTTTGGGTGCTTCCCAAGAAAATGGCACTTTCCCCCATTTTTTCCTATCTAGTAGATCTTCTCTGGTGGCACTGTTAGAAGATGTCCTTTCCGTATTAATAGATCTTTGGCTGGAAGGTACTGCCCTTAGCTGCAAGTCTTCCCTAAAATTGTCATTAATTTGCATTTCATCTCCCTCTAAAAGAAAACGTTTTCTTTATTCATGCAATTTTTTTAAAACTATATAGCACCCCACCACCAGCTTGGGAATCTTCCTGTAACACACCGCTCTTACTCATGCTATAACTGAAATCACCTGGGGATCTTGGAAGTTTCCGACGCCTGAGCTCTGCCTCTGGAAACTCTGATTTAACTGGGCTTGGCACCCACAGCTCCCAGGGTGATCCTTGCTGGCAGCCCAGCTGTAAACACATCAGGTGACAAAGTGCAGCTGTGGGCCATGTGCGTGCTCAGCGCCAAGTGCCCTTCAGCTGGTGATCTGGGGTGAGCCATGTCACCGCCCACGCCTCAGCTGCCTCAGCTGAAAAACGTGGACAGGACAGCTCCATTCCACTGGGCTGCTGTGGAGATTCACAATGAAAATACACATTCCCGGAGCACTTAGCACAGTGCCCAGAATCCAGTAAGGGCTGTAAATGAAGTGTAAGTACTGCTATATGGAGCTCTGGTTGCATGGTAAGTTAAGCACTGGGCTGCTATATGAAACATCAGTGGTTGGAATCCACTGGTCACTCTGCCGGAGAAAGACGAGGCCATCAATTTCTGAAATTGTGTGAAGGGGTAGTTTTCTGTCTTATGAGGCCGCCATGCTTAAGGAAGGGCTCAACAAAACGGATTCACACAGTGAATTCACACAGCAACAACGGGCTTGAGCACGTGGAGAGCATGATGCTGGTACAAGACAGGGTCAAGTTTCCAATCCACTGTTCACAGGGTCACTATGAGTTATCGGTGACTCGACGTCCTCAACAAAAGGATGAATCATAATTGACTCAATGCATTGGAATAGGGACAGAAGATGTATGTAAGCAGTCCCTGGATGGTGCAAATGTTTAAGTGCTCTATTAGCCACAAGGTTGGTGGTTCAAACCTAGCCACAGGCATCTTGGAAGACACTCAGTGATCCCACATGTGTAGATCAAAACAATCCTTTTATAGTAGTTAGACAGGACAAGCATTCAGGATCTTAAGCCCTAGAAAGTGTGAGTGTGAGCTCTGTCCAAAGGTCTGGCCCCTCCACCATATTACTTGATGTGTGTACCCAGTTTTGGTCACAAACAGTGCAACACTAAGACATCAGCGTATGTAACAGCCATTAGTTACCCAGAGCCCTCCCAGTAGGCAGCCCCTCTCCACAACCACCATCAGCCACACCCAGAAGGCATCTATAGCAAGGGCAGTTTCTTAGAGATAAAGGACATGGAATAAATCCCAATTGTTTTTTTAAACAAACTAAGCAGGCACTAGCTCAACTGAGTTTCCAATGACGTTTGGAAATGAGATCTTATCTTGCCTCCGTTTTACAGGCAAGAAAAGCAAGGCTCTGACGGAGAAAGGAAAGATGAGCAGAGGCCACAGAGCTCACTGCCGTAACAAAGCAATCCCCAGGCAGAAGCAGTGACTCTCTTTAAAACTGCACTGTGTTAAAGGAAGCAGGTTTGTCTAGTTCATCCTGAAAATATTTTTCTGACTATATGGGAATTTTCTGCCCATCACGTGAGAAGCCTTCTTTCGGTAATAGCTGAGAACTGTGGATTTAATGAACACAAGAAAAAGAAGAGGGTGAAAGGAGTACAGGGGTGGTGACAGAGAAGGTAAAGCAGTGTCATCATGAAGCAGAGAAGAGACACGGGCTGGCAGGCCATAAAAAGGATGCTTGGTGTGCGTGGAAGGTACGCTGAGGGTCATTTCAGCATATCCACTGTGGAGAGTGTATGATCTAACTGTGATTCAGAATTTGACTGGATCTCCCAGCCAAGAGAAGTCAGGCCAAAGTCCAGGTCTAACTTCCACTCCCCTTCCTCCCGCTGCCTGCCTTCAGCCTGCCCGATGCATCACAAACTTCATTCTCCTGGGGCCAGAGCCTAAGGAGGCCCAAGCTTGGCAGTGATCCTAGGAAACTGTGTAAACAAAACAACCAGCTGGATGGCTGCCTGGGGGCCCTGGTGGCAAGGACCCCAGTGTGTCCGCCAGGTTCTGGCTGGCACGACCTGGCTGGGAAAGACCAAGCTGTTAGCACTCACTCATTTGCCACTAGTGTTAAAAGCCATCCAACAAGCAATCACTCCCGAGCAAGTCAAGTCGCTTTAATTTACCAAAGTGGCAAACTGCAATTATTGCTCAAAATGACATTCATTCCTGTATGACAACATTTTAAGACTCTCTAAAAAAAGTTCCTTAATTGCCTGCATAATTTTAAATTACTGTAATTTGTTCAAGGTTCTGTGGAAATCTTCTCCCCCCACCCCAAAAGATAAAAGGAACAGAAGGATAATGAGGAAGTCTTAAAATGCTATAGCCAAAGGATATAATTTTGGGGGCTGGGGTAGACAGAGGTGACACTAGAATTCTACAAAACAAAGTAAAGATAGATAACCCTAAAAAGACTTCAAGCATTTTACAGAGGAAAATTTACAATCCCAGGAGGGTCAAATTCATTACATTATTACACAGTATCTTTTAATTTACAGTTTTAAAAGCTCTTATTCAATAGAGGATGACGGTTTCCATTTACTTTCCCCCCACATTAAGAGAAAAGAGTAACTTCTGTGCCCATAATTCATTCACGTAGTGAAAACAGATACTTCCACTTGTATTCTTATTCCTCTCTTGTCATCATTATAGAATTTTATTAAGTATGGAGACGCCAAGAGATAAACATATGGCTGAAAAATGAAATGATGTTATTTCAGTAACCCTAACTCTAATTTCTGTAAAATCACGTGAAATAGATTTTTTTAACTTCTTCACTGACTGAAATCTAAAATTAGGAAATGGTTTTCTCTACCTTTCCATTAGAATAACATCAACTAGAAACAAAGTGTTCCCAGTATCAGTAGTTGAACTTATAGCTAGTTCTCCTCAAAGGGGAAAAAAAAAATTGGGGGTTTCTTTGTGAATAATTACTTTAAAAAAATAACTAAATGTAAAACTCTAAAATTGAAACATAAATATGTATTTTTAATTTATAAATGTATTCCTAAAATCAAAACCAAACCTACTGTCAAATCAGTCCTGACTCAGAGCAGTCCCCACAGGACATACAAGAATCTACAAACTGTCCCAGGCTGTCACCTTACAGAAGCTGATAACCACATCATTCTCTCACAAAACAGCAGATGAAGATCAGGGTGAAACCAAACATCAGATCTTTACATCAGCAGTCATGTGTTTAATCTCTGTGCCACCAGAGCGCCTAATGTAATTATTGTTGTTGTTACATGCCATCGAGTCACCTGCAACTCATAGTGATCCTATGTGCAATACCTCTGAAGCCTGCCCTATCCTGAGCCAGACTTACTGACTCCAACACACCTACCCCCACTGCCCCAATATCAGGTCAATCCATCCATCTCATTCAGGGTCTTACTTTCCTTTGCTGTCCCTCCCCAGTTCCAAGCATGATGTCCTTCTCCAAGGACTGGTCCCTCCTGGCCACATATCCAAAGTATGTGAGACAGAACTTCAGAATCCTAGCCTCCAAAAAGAAAAACTTGGTTTTACCTTTGGTGTCTCTCTCTCTCTCTCTCTCTCACACACACACACACACACAGACACACACACTCTTAAACTGCACACACACACACACACACTCTTAAACTGCACATAGGATTCAGTTAAGATAAGAAGCACTCACATCTACAAGAATGGAAAGTGAGGTAAATATTTAGGGAGCATTTAGTAGGGGGAATACAGGTTCCACACATATAGTTATAATTGTGTCCCACACAGAATCACAGTGCACAGGGCCCTTGGTCTACAAAGCTCTGGACTCTGACATGGCCAAGCTTACTTGGAAAAGGAAGGGACACCTTTATCTTGGCAAAGGTACATCTGCACCCACCCAGGAGTTGCTCTTTCTCTGTCACAGGCCCTGCACTCACAGCAGCTCCTGGTCCTTCCTTAAGTCTTGCCTTTTAGTGTGCTTCTCTACAATCCACTAAACACATCACAAGGCCAGATGCTACATAGAAGTAGACAAATCACACATCAAACCAGACACAGGAAATGCCCTGCCAAGATGGAGACACCTAGACGGACACCCTGGTGTGGGGCTGAGGGCAGGACAGGTGGACAAAAGAGGGCAGAGGCACAGAAGGTCCCTGGGAAGTGTCCCTCAATTACATCTCTGCATATATGACCGGCTCACCTTTCCACTTTCTATGGGAAAAAAGTAAGGCAAAAAAAGAAGCTAGGTGAGAGACGCACACATCCAGGGCTTTCCCTATGCTTGCTGGGCTGACCGTTTCTAAAACAGTGGTTTTAGGAAACAGACTGGCATACTGGAATCTGCTCCAGCTCTCCTATAGCCAGTCCTGTGAAGAGCTGTGAAGGCCAAGAGTGAGGAGGCCCAAAGGGTGATCTCTGTGCCCTAACCTGGACGTGTGGCTTCTCTATGCTTTTAGATGCTTATTGTTGAAAAGTGTCATCAAATTAAATGCAACTCATAGCAACTCCATGCACAAGAGCTCTGAACCCTGTCCTATCCCGTACCGTCCTCATCATCTCTGATATACTGAGATCACTGCTGCATCACTGTGTTAATCAAGCATGATGTCTCTTAGCAAAGACTAGTCCCTCCTAACAACATGCTCCAACTATGTGTTTAGACTGTGTTAAATGCTAAGAACAACTTGCCCTAAAAATCTTAACACAATGTATGACGTGATAGTTACTGCCCAACACCAAGGAGTTAAAAGGCCCTTGGCTCCCAGGGTGCAGGCCTCAATCCCCTATCATCATAAATGCCAGGGTGCATGAAAGCCTTTCCCAGTACCCTCCTGTGTGCTCGCCTCTGGGCCACTCTTCAGGTCTTCGTTTTCAATAAGCCGTAAAGATGGAATTATGACCCAGGACACCTTAAAAAAAGAATTTCCCCTCAGAAATGTCTTCTGATCTTGGTGGATTGCTTCCTTTTCATACCTGCTCTGGAATAATCTCCAAAAATCCATATTTTCCTGCTTGAGCAAAAGCTACACTTTGTAATCACCAGAGTGTTCAAGCCTGGTAGTTTTATAGTATTAAGATGCTCTTAAACAGCCTCCTCACCAACCCAGAGCAGGGAAGAAGCAGAGGCAGGTACTGACTCTCCCTCAGAGCAGGGCTCACCTTCACATTGGGAGTGTAGAGGTTCCTGAGAGAAGCAAGGGCAGCCGACAGCCCCTCAGTGCTGTAACCGATCCACAGGGCCTGGAGATGGCTAGATGAGATTCCTGTCTTCTTGCTGAGGCCCTGGAAAGAACCAGACAAAAGTGTGTCAGTGTCTCCATTCCCAATTATAGCACCAGTTTGAAAATGACCCAAGAATATGTATGAATGCACTGAATCTACAGCAAGACTCACACAAAGAACACCTGGACTCATGACCCTTGTAAAACTCTGCTTAAAGACTGAAAGAATGGGAAGGAATATTGAGGAAGGTTTGTAAAAATGAGCTCGAGTATATTGGGACTAGTGAAGATGGCACAGGACAGGGCAGTGTTCACATCTGTCGTTCACGGTGGGGCTATGAGTCACGTCGATTCAACAGAGCCAGAACAAAAACGTAGACTGACACAGTGACCCTAACAATGGGCTCAAGTATATTAGACATGTCAAGGATGGCACAGGATAGAACAAAATTCATATCTACTATTCGAAGGTTTGTTATGAGTCACAGTTGAACTTAAAGGCACCAAGCAACATGAACCTGATGAAGGTTTATTATCCAGAATATATAAAGAACTCCTATAACTCAACAACAAAAGAAACAACTCAAAAAAGTGGATAAAGGACTTAAAGAAATACAAATAACCAATGAAAGCATAAAATCACATCCAATGTCATTACTTTGTCCAACTCAACTCATAACCAACTCAGAATTGACCCTCCAGCAGGTTTTCAGGAGGCTGTAAGTCACAGAGGAGGAGACAGCCTATCATCTTTCACCCACAGAATGACTGATGGGTTCAAGGTGCTGTCTGGATTAGCAGTACAACTTCTACGGACTACACCACAAGGTCTTCCCCATTATTCCTTTAGGGAAATTAAAATAAAAACTAAGATGAAAGATCCCTTTACAACCTCTATGATAGCTATGGTTAAGAAAATCAGAAACTAACAAGTGTTGATAAGGATGGGAAGACACTGTAGTCCTCATTCATTGCTGGTGGGAATGTAAACTGCTGTACTGCTATGGAAACAGTTAAACAGTCTTTAAAAACAGAAATAACTTCAAGTGCCCATCAATGGAAGAATGGATAAACAAAATGAAGTGTAGATGTACAGTGAGTATTACTCAGGTATAAAGAAAATCCAAATCCTATTATGTGCTATGGCATGAATGAACCTTGAAAACACTGGGCTGAGTGAAATAAATTTGGGCACAAAAGGATAAATATGTTTCCATTTATATAAAATTATCTAGAATAAAAGAATGCATGTGGATTAAGTTTATTAAGTGTTAAGAGGGGTGGGGAAAGGGAGGAAGGAAGGGAGACTCAGTTCTTAGAGGACACTGACCTTCTGCTTAGGGTGACATGTAAGACTAGAGGTGGTGGCTGAACAAGATTATAGACATAATTAGTGTCACTGGGTTGTATAATGCAATGTTGAGATGTCAAGTATTGTGTTACATACATCATACTTATCACAATGGAAGAAAAATTGCAACCTTTAGATTAAGAGAAAACTTGAATGAGATTTAAAGGGAGGAAAAGTAAGACTTAACCATGCTCAACAGTTGCATAATTGAGTGGTAAACTGTAAAGAAACGCAGGGAGGTAATGATGATAAACATCCAAAGAACCACTCCTTTGAGGGAGGAAGAAGATACAATACATAGAAAACTTCTGAAAGAATAGCTGATAAAGTTTTTAAAAAACCTTTCAAAACAAAACACCTGAAAAATTAAACTCAACAACAAACTCCTCTGATTAGCGGTGTGCCGCTCACCTTGAAAATGTGTGCCTTGAGGATGTGGTGGCCGAGCTCCATGGTCTGCTGGCGGTTGAGTTTGCCCTCCTGGCGAGAGAACATGAACGCCAGCAGAGCATGTCCATTCCTACAACAAGAAACACAAAAGCTCTTAGCCAAAGTTCCTGTTCCACATCACCACAGGCTCAGAATCCCCACTCTCCAATGAGGGCCCCTTCCACTCCCACTGCTATAGCTCTCTCACACCCAGAGAAACATCCATCTACCATCTGCCAATCCTCTAAGCCCCCATCCTCCCTGGTCACCAAGTAGAGATTGGTCCCCCACCCCCCTTGACCTGGATCAACCTTCCGGTCAGGGTAAAGTGAAGGCGAAATGGCTCTTCCAAACATGGGCAAAGGCATTCTCAGACTCTAGCTTTATGGCCACATCAACTATACCAACAATTGTTACAAGGGAAATATTTTAACAAAGGCAGACACATACTTGGACACAGTGGTAGGCTAATGGTTCTCCAGTACTCTCAGCTAAGATAGTTTCCTACTTCTCTGAAGAGAAAACTCACCAAGCTGTCCCCTATGCCCACACTCCTTATCCCACACCCCCTGTCTTCCAATTCTCTTGGACTCAGGAGACCAAGTGCCTTCCCTAAAGTCTAGCTGTATTCATGACAATGTTCATTTTCTAAAGCTTATGCATATTAAATCTTTATTATTTGCCAGACCCAAAATCTAGCTGAATTACCAGACTTGAGCAGGTAAAATGATTCACTCAAGAGCAAATGGTTGCCACTGAACTTGAATTTCAATTGTGTGAACCTTGAATCTGCCCTGTATGTGAGCCTGTGTTCCTAGGCAGTGAAACAGGATTCTTTCTTCACTTACACATTTACTCACTCAGCATCTACCTTTTAACTAGCTCACTGCTTGACACTGGAGATTCTGTGAGGAATAAGTAACCTGGGTACATTCCTTGAGTACCTGGAAAGGAATTTTTCTCTGAAAGGCAGAGGGTCAGCAAAAGAGGGAAAGAAAACCAACAAGATGGACTGACACAGTGACTGCAGCAATGGGCTCAACTGTATCAGAGAGAATGACGATGGTACAGAACAGAACAGAATTCAAGTCTGTTATTCAGAGGGTCCCTGTGAGTCATACGTGACTTGACATCTAACAACAATAATAACTTTCCTTGAGAAACTCCCATGAATTGTAGGAGACACATAGAACAAGATAAAACAGGGAACAAGACTATGAACAAAATCAACAGGAACAGAGTAGGAGCAAGTTAAATGATACATTCCATTCCCTCACAATCCTATTCTCCTTTTTTTATGATTTAAGCTTTTACTCATACTGGTCCAACGATTTTTGTAACAATCTCCCAATCCCTTGTGTAATAAAAAAGCAGAGAACCACCTACAACCAGGAGAGAGTAAAAGATGAATGGAACCTTCTAAGATTAAAATCCTTATGCACATCCAAAAAGCATTTCCAACAGGTAAAAATGGAAGCCACAGACTAGGAAAAAATATTTGGTAATGACAGGTCTGATAAGAAACTTATATCTGGAATTTATAAAATATTCAAGCACCACAACAAGATAAAGGTAAACAACCCAACTGAAAAATGGGCACAGGATATGAACAGACACTTCAGCAAAGACGACATTCAGATGGTGAACACACACATGAAGAAATGTTCAAAATCTCTAGCTCTAAGAGAGATGCAAATCAAAACAACTATGAGATATCATCTCACCCCAGTAAGAATAGCAAAATTTAACAGAACAGCAAGCAACAAATGCTGATGAAGTTGCAGAGAAACAGGCATCCTTATTCATTGTTGGTGGGAGTGAAAAATAGTGCAACCACTATGAAAGGCTGTACAGAGCTTTCTCAAAAAGTTGGAAAAAGAAGTATCATTTGACCCAGCAATTCCACTACTGGAAATATACCCTAAAGAAACCATAACTGCCACCCATGCAGATATATGCACACCCATGTTTATTGCGGCTTTGTTCACAATAGTGAAGAGTTGGAAACAACCCAGGTGCCCATCAACAAACGAATGGATAGAGAAGCTCTGGTATATTCACACAATGGAATACTATGCTGCAATAAAACACTAGGAACTCATGAAATATTATACAAAATGGGTGACCCTGGAGGATATTATGCTGAGTGAAGTATCTCAGACACAAAAGGACAAATACTGCATAGTGCCACTGTTGTAAAGCGGGTCTGACATCCGGTTTATGGGAAAACTAAGAGGGGATAAATAATGTATACTGAATTGAAATAGATGAGGGAGTGAACTGTTTAGGAGATATATAAGATTAGGTATTAGTGTCATACCAAGAGTCCAGAATGAAAGCTGCATAGTGGAGTGGACTAGGGGGTAGGGGGAATTGTATAAGAAGGAAAGTTTTGGGGGGGTTGGGTTTTTTTTTTTTACTTTTCAAGGAGAAAAGTGAACTGGAGGGGTACTCAGGGAGGAAAGTGTGCAACAACAAATGAATGGAAATTCAAAGTCTGTAAATTTTCATTAAAAAAAAAAAATGAGAATCTCTCACACACTAAAAACTTTCCCAAATATCTTGACCTTTCCACTGCACCCTGTAAGGTGGGCTTTCTCCCTTATCACTCCCCCCAACCCAAGGGAATCTTAAGAATCCTAAGAATCTAGAACCTGTTTTCTGCAAAGTAAAAACCATTTCCCTCCTAATCATCATTTTCCTTCACTCCCAGCAGCATTTACATCCTCTAACCTCTTTTTTCCAAAATTACCCCCAAAGCTCTCAGAAGTTCTGTTCCCTTTTTTCTAGTTTTTCTGCCAGACCTACTGTCACCTCCACATCAGTGACACCAAACCCTTCTCCACTACCATCATCGCTTCCAGTCTTTGAGGCACCTGCCCCTGGTCACCGGGGAAAATGGATATTCTCGTGCGCAACCTATTAAAAATTAATGCCAGCTCCTTCCCTACAAAACCTGTTCTATGCTCTGTCTTTTTAACCCTTCTATAAAAATTGTCACTCTTATATTTGAGGTTTATAAATTTGAGCTACAGCTTTTCCGCTTCCCCTTATTCTGTCCACAAGGCCAAATCATGTCTGTCTGTCTCAGTCACATGGCTTGTCTCCATTCCACTGTGTCCACGTCCAGTCCTCATTCCTGTCTGTTGCAATGTTCCCACACCCTGGACCCTCCTCATTCTGGTCCACATACACACACCCCTCCAGAATCTTCACAGTCCTCCAGGAATGTCTACTAAAAAGCACCTCCTTCTGTGATCTCTTTCTGTTCTCTCATTGCCATAGCAAAAGCTCAAAATTGAGCTATTTCCAGAACACAGGCTATTCATTCTGACACAATGCTGTAGATACCTCCTATCTGCAATTGCTGTGCAGCACCTACCAAAATGCTGGCCATTCACTCCTCAAGTCAATGGCTTGTGGAAAGGAGGGGGAAGAGGAAATTATTCTAGATTAAGAGAGTCTATGGTTGCTGTTGTTGTTGCATACGATCGAGTCAGAACTGATCCAAAGTTGACCCTCTGGTAGGTTTTCAGAGGCAGTTAATTGAACAGGAGGAGATTGCCCATCCTTCTCCTGTGGAGCAGCTGGTGGATTTGAACCATGCGCCTTGAGGATGCAGCACATCTTTTTATCCTTTGTACTTCATTATCAACCTCAATGTAGGTTACAACCCTCCCAGCAATGTCAATAAAGAAATGCCTGGTGATCTGCTTCTCAGTGTCACAGCCAAGAATATACTACCAAGTGAGTCTACTTTGCATCAATAATTCAGTGGCAACCAGTCTGAGTGGTTGGTTTGGGTCTTTTTGGTTTGGTTTTTTTTTCCCCCCATCTCCATAATTGATGGATCCAGGAAGTGATAATCAATGGTCCCTAGCATCACAGACACACTGTGAAGGCATCTGACTCATGATGGAAATAACCACCAATTAAAATATCACAGTGACTCAGTGTAATCTAGATGTGATCAAATTTCTAGATTTAACTACCAATATGTGGGAAATAGAAGTGACAGAGATACAAGAGGGGAAAACCCCACCACTATCAGGATGCAACCCGCAATATTCAGACTATGGGAAGTGAAACAGGACAAACTATCCAATTCTCTTTTTAGAACAAATAATACTGCAAGAAAAGAAACCCAAACAAGTAATAGGGGAGGGAACCTACAGAAGAAAAGAAAACTCACTGCCTTTGGAACAGACTCAAGGCTGACAGTCCGGTGGGGTTTCTAGAGGCTGGAAATTGCACAGAGGAGAATGCCCATTCTTCTCCTGCAGTGGGTTCACACCACCGCAGAGGAGGCACTGAGTTACCAGCACAGTTCTCCGTGGACTACCCACCAGAGCTCCTCCAGAGAGTAAGAGAGACAGGGTCAAATGCATTTTGTGGACCTTATCTGGATCTTGATTAAAACATACTTTAAAAGCGATTTTTTTAAAAAATTGAGCACAGCTAAATATTTCATAATATCTCTAACTTATTAATATTTAAGGTATAGTAATAGTATTGTGGCTAAGAAATAAATTCTGCATTTTCCCCAGATGTATACACAAGTATTTCGACCAAAATTTTATATTTGTAATTTAATGCACTTCAGGAAACTATGACATGTAGCAAATGTTTTAAAATGTGAATAATGCTTAAGTCTAGGTAATGAGTATGAATGAAGATTTAAGACATTTAACTCTTTTCATTCTGTGCCTTGAATTCTAATATTTAAGTTCTAATAAAAAATGAGAAAGGGGATAAATCAGGGAGGGAGGGAGAGAGCATCCCAGTACTTACTTAAGAGACATCATTACCCAGTGAGGTGGCACTCTCTTTACCAACAGGAAAACTGGGTCTTGGAGAATTAGGATAATTCACACATACAAGAATGGAGAGTGTCAGAAATTTTAATCCAGTTATCTATCAAACCGTCCTACTATTCGAAGGCACCTAGGATGGTAGCCGCCAGCAAGAAACAACAGTGGGAGATGGAATGTACTATACAAGTGCTTGTTTTCCTCTGCATTTCTGGACTCCAGCAACTGGTTAGGTGACCAGCCCAAAGAAGAAGGTTTAATAGGTCGCTGGCTTTGCCAGAAGGGGGTAATCATGACCCACAGGCAGGAGCAGTTGCTGGAGGCAGCAAAGATGAAGGTCAAGCTAGATGAGGCAGGGGCAGAGAGCCCAACACACTTTATGTGAAAACATCAGCATCCCCAATTCCTTGACCTCTCACCACATATGATAGCATGACACACAGCGAGGAATGTACCCCCTTCTACAGCACATGCCGCTTAGGCTTCCCTAGGTGGAAAGAACCTCATCTTAACCAGGCTCTGCTGCAAATCCACAGCATAACTTGACACCTTGGACACAGCTGTCCCAATATCATCTGAGAATGGGACGCACATTTTTCCAACCTTCAAATCTCAGGTGTATTACTCTGAGGTAAGCCACAAATATCCAATGAGGTAGCCAGACCCTATCACTGTGCTCCCTCAGGGCTTATATCAGACATATCTGATCTCTGTCTGAGGAATCTGCTGACAAGTCCAGACACACCAGAGGTAGTGGGGGCAGCGCTGGGGGACCTCATAATGCCCACAGACCCACAGGTGAGGAAACAGAGCCATGAATAGCCACTGCCGAATCCTAATGCTCCCACAGCTGACATTACATTTCCTCCAGCTGACTTACGCTAAAAATAGCTCTGAAGGGGGTCTACAAGAAAACAGCAGCTAAGAGATATCACCTGGCATGCCTAACTGCTCTCCAAACCAACGTATATAAGGACTTCTAAAATTCTAGCCATTAAATAAAGGAAGCTTTTATAGAAAAGGAGAAAGAATTTTCCATGGCCTTCCTTTTGCCAATAAAAGAAAACAAAAGAGAACTGAATTATTCATCCTGTGTTGCCTTGTTATTTGCAAGCTCTTTCCCAATCGCACAGCAGGCTTTGGAAGATGGTTGACAGGAAGTGGCCAACTGTACCTGGGCTCACACAGGAAGGCTGTATTCTCCCCATCTGCTCTCCATACCAGCCACTCCCTGAAGGATGGATGGCAGAACATGCGGGTTCTGTCCCTCCGTTTGATAAGGAAGCAGGAGAGGGCGTCCATTCTCTGCTGAAAGTCATCCCACCCCTGTTCCCCTTGAACGTGACCAGCATTGATGGCCTGGAAGATCTGCTCATCCGTCATGGGGTGGAGAGAGGCCAGGGCCACGTTTAGAATGGGGAGTGCTCTCTCGAAGGCAGACTGAGTCATGAACTTCATATTGCACTGCAGCAAGTACAGTTCGGACAGAGACACCGGCACGACCTTGTAGCTGGCGCTTTTGATGACCAAATGTCCCCTCTGGAAGAGGTCCAGGGTGAGCTTCAGGTACAGGTAGGAGCCGAGGCTCCGCAGCACCAGGTGGCTGCTCACTTTGCCGATGAGGGCGGCGTCGGCCTTGCCATTGAGCGAGATGTTGCTGAGGATGTCCTGGCTGCTGTGCACTCTGTGCTGGACGTAGGCGTGCAGGTCGCTGTGAATGTCTTTGTTGTCCGGGAAGTCATCTAATGAAAGCTTGACAAATGGCAGTGAGCTCGTGATTTCCTGTGAAAACACCAAAAACACACAGCGTCACTCCACAGAGATTTCTGTGTTCCTGGAGCAGCATTTCAAACCAGAGCCACTAGTTTTCTTTCAAAGAGGATTTTCATGGATTATAGGGGCTCATTGTTTTGTATTAAAACATGTAATAGGATAAGTTGAAGATAAAAAGCTTATGTGAAAGAAATCCAGATACGAGATTGAATCAGCAAAGGCTTTCCCAGGGCCCTCAGTGAAGACTCAGAACCGAGTCAGAAGTAGGAGCCTGTTGGCACCACAGATGGGCCAGCAAGACTCCGCCTGAGACCCAAAGCCCAGACCCCTTGCACCGAGTGACAACTGCAGACAACTGAGTCAGATACTGAGAACAGAGTTCTCTCCATCACACATACCAGGCGCTGGACCAGGGAACCAGAGCCCAGGCCACCTCCCAAGGACAACTATGTTGCTGCCCTTTGCATGAGACAATGTCATTATTCTAATTTGTTTTTTAAACTGAAGTACAGCAACAACACAAAGGTACCCAAACTGGTAAGTCTGCAGTGCCATTATATTCACATCACAAAGCCATGCAGTCAGCCACAAGAAATGGAAGGTTCCCCAAATCCCTCAGCCCCCTTCCAGTCTCCACTCCACCTCAAAAGTCTAAAAGAACTTTTTAAAGATAAAGGCAAACTTCGGGTGGGTAGGGAGGAAAATGTGCAACAACTAATGAATGGAAATCCAAGTTTTCTGTAAACTTTCATTAAAATCACAATACAAAACATAAAAAACAAAAGTATAACAGAAGAGAGGGCTTTTGCAGCTGCTGTTGTTTGGTTTTTGTTGTTTTCTTTCTTTTTTTTTTTTAAATATCCCCTATCATTTCTGAAGTAAGTACATGTGCTCTTTTAAGTGCAAAAATTGTAGCAGACAGGCAGAGTATAATCTCTCCCGTGTCATACAGATTGTAAACCAAAACTCAACAAAGAAAGGTAAACCTCTTATCCCAGCACTCTACTGATTGTCAAGTTCTTATTGCATTAAAAAAAATTACTGAAATACACAAGAATCAAGTATCTAAAAAAATAAGCATCAAATTCAACTAAGCTCTAATTTTACTTTTTTTAAAAAGCCTAAAAAATCCAAAAGCTATTTTTAAATGAGAAGCATCATAAGAGGGCAAAACCCAGTCTTTACTAAAAAAGGATATGGATAGAGGGAAGAAATTAATGGCTAATTTAAAGTTCAAACAGGGAAGTGGGGTATTAAGAAAAAAAAAAAATCACTCTTCTCTCAGCTACAAATGTCTCCTGTTGAAGTCAGAACAAAAATAGACCTTCTTTCAGAATAAACCTTAAACCGTCTTGCCTTAGGACTTCCCTCTTGCTTCCATGAAAAACAAGGCCCCACTCATGTCCTTGAAAACAACTGCTATTAGGAGCAGGTGTCACCCCTCTTAAACCTCACAGTCAGAGCCCCCAACAGCACTGACCACCATCAGAGGAATTTAAGCTAATTTCAATTAAAAAACATCAAATGTGGTAAACCAAAACTAGATACCTCCATTTTAGAAGCTCATACACAGTTCAGAGTGAACAGAATAGAGAACTTACCTGACATCTTGATAAATATGTCTTGGGAATAAAAAGGTCAGAATTTCACCCATTTGGGTCTCTGTGGACTAATTTTTCAAAGTCCTAATACAGTTTCCAATTGAACAGCTAAATGGCTTACAAGAGTTTAAATTATTATTATTAATCACTGTAAAATGTCGGTATGGGACTTAGAAAGAGATTGGAGGATTCTACTGTTACCTGAAAATTGGCTCTTACAGTCACAATCAACTTCAACCAGGCAGGAAATTTAGAAATAATTTTGGTAATGAATGAAGAAAGTGTATCTCCATAATCAGGTTTATGAAACTCAGCTTCATTTAAGCCATCTATCAAAATAATGTATTCTTCTTCAGGAATTTTCTGCTCTAAAGGAGAAAATAATTTTTTTTAAATTAAGAAATTATACATTTCTATAAGATGGCACCACACAGCGTATTTTAATGCACAATTTAGAGTGTTAGGCAAAACTAAAAAGGTTTACATATGGCAAAAGAAATTATTTTCGCAGAAGCATATTTTCTATTAAATTTGTAATGAAAACTGGAGCACCGAGCCAAAAGAAAACCAATTCTCACAGAACAGTTTTCAGAAACATATTGCATTGCACACATTAGCAGAATCTTGTTCGTGTTGATAACGCAGTTAGTCCTCTTTACACTACTGTCCTGGCGAGAGCTTCAGAGACGATAACTCACTCCCCACAAACCAGCCCGGGAAAGGAAACCACAGCCATGAGAACTCTCACACAGAGTCCAGGGAAGGAAAAGCGATGCCTCAAAGATCAACTGACCCAGACATCCCTCAGATGGGACTCTTCTTCATGCCTTCCCCCAGTTCTCTACTTCTTACTGCTAACTTTCTGTCCAGGGAATCGAGAAGAAGTGACTGCATCCTGACTTCCACACCCTCTAAAAATACTTTTAAATATCTTCTGGCAGATAAGTTAGGTCAAAGGTGAGGGGCAGAGGGCAGGAGCATAAACAAACACAGGGCCCATAATGGCACTAGTGTGTCCCTTGCCTTTAGAATACTCGGGGGCAAAACTCATAGGGAAACCTCTAGAACTGGTTTAGATTTCAACTAAACTGGTTTCAAGCAGGAACCCTGAAAACACATGATGGCGATTTCTCCAATAACTACATATTTCCCCTTCTCTCCTACTTCTTCAGCTTTAAACTCACTGACATTAAATTGGTTCCAACTCACAGCTTACTCTCCACTGAGTTTTTGAGAGACTAAACACACAGGAGGACATTGCCCATCTTTCTCCCATGGAGTCACTGGTAGATCTGAACAAGATTTGAGTTATCAATGCAACTCCTTATAAATTACACCACTAAATGAATATAAAACACACAGGTATCCGTCTTCTAGGGTGCAAGTCATCTAAGTAACTTAGTTACACATTAGGTACTCTGGAAATATTGAGCCAGTTCTGACCAGGGGCACTGATGTACCCACATCCTCTGTGGCTCTCCCTGCGCCCCCTTTCTCCCTGACACAAGCTGAGCATACTCATGGATTTCTGGGTGTCGTTAGGACGGGTGGGGCCGGTACCGTGTCTCAGGTTTGTGAGCGGCTCCAGGACGCCCCTCTTGAAAGCTGCCACGGGGTCCTGCACACAGGATCGCAGACTCAGCATGCTCTGGAGCTGGGGCTCCTTGATGAGAAGCTCTCTGTAGGCAGTGAGCTGGTGGGACCGGCAGAGCAAAGCGGCGATGCTGTGCACAAACTCAGGCACCAGGCAGGTGTATGTGTTGTCGGCCTGGCAGTAGTGGTAGGCCACGACCTGGGAGGAAGGAAACAGAGCTGTCAGCATCAGCCAGCCCCTTCTCCAACAGGAATGTGGTTCTGGAGGTCCACTGAGATCATGAGACACATTGCTTCTATTTCCCAACACCAAGTCGTTATTAAGCTTAACTGATTCCCCCACCCAATCATGTAGTTTGCTAAATTCAAGGCAGCCCTTTAACTGCTGCCATCAGTCCTGATTAGAATAATGATCAGCACAGGTTAGTTGATACTGAATATCAATGAATGAACCCATTGCCCTCCAGTTGGAACTGATTCATAGCTGATCCTCCAGGAGGTGGTTTTCAGAGGCTGCAAAGGGAGGAAATGGCCCATTTTTCTACCAACGAGCAGCTGGTGATTTTGAACAGTCTGCCTTTGGGTTGGAGGGCAACTCCTCACCCACTAGGCCACCTGAGTTCCCTGGAGCCAACATGGGGCAACCCTGAGATGAAGAGACTCGTGGTCTACTGCTTCATCAAGTCGTTCAGAAGAGCCTGGCTGGATGCAATTCCAAGAAATTCTAATCTTGAACTCAAAACTCAAAACATTCATTACATTACTGTTTTTGAAAATAAGACCACCTTTTGAGAAACTCTTTTGCTGCTTCCAAAAAGAAAAGATTAGTCGTTAAGAAACCTAGGTTGTAAGTTGTAGCATCTGCTTTCGGCAGGAGAGAAAGCCAGCCAGGCTCAAGCCCTCAGTCTCTTCGCCATACCCCACTATGTAGAAGCTTAACACAGTGATTGTTTGAGGTCTATAATTCAGAAAGTGTCACAATCCTGTTTATGATATGAGGGAGCACAAAGGAGGGACAAGTGCCTTCTGAGTTCCTGGTGAAATAATGAGGGTACTGAGAAAATGAGGGGTGGCTGTTATTGAGTAATGTTAGACTGAACTGACCCACAGCTGACCCTTCACCAGGTTTCAGTCAGTTCACACAGGTTTAAACTGCATATGTCTCTCTCCAGAAGGAGCTGGTTGATTCGAACCATGTTCCTTTGTGTTGGCAGGGCAATTCCTTACTCTAAGCCACCAGAGCTCCCCGAGAATGACCCTGGGGTTCTCTCTATTAAACAGGCCCAAGGAAAGGGTTAGATATGGAGTTATCTTGGGAGTGAGAAGTTTACTGTAAGCAGAATGTAAAGTCTGACACTTTTCCAAATGAAGATAAAAGATGAACTAAATAGTGTGTGTGTGTGTGTGTGTGTGTGTGTGTGTGTGAACAAACCACATTTGTGCAAAGTGCTTTCTTGGTTTTCAGAAGGTTGGAAGCCTCCCCATGCCAACGAGTTCTACATCCCTGTGAGAACCGGGCAAGAGCCTCGAGCTACAGGTGACAGCTCAGGGCAACAGGCACAGAGGTGAAATGCCTTGCCAAGGTAGCCAGTGAAAGACGTAGAACTAGATTCCAGGTCGGCAGATTCAAAGCCTCCACAGTAGATGTGGGAAAACTTTCCTCGAGTGAATCTGAAACCGTCATGAGACTCCTGCTTGAGATAAATTTATCATCCCACACTTGGAGGAAAGCTGTCCACTCTTCAGCTCACACCTGGACTGAGAGAAGGAGGAACTTACGGGAGGACTCATAAGCTGGAACCAACACTGTGCAGCTGCCCACATGAGACATCTGCCCTCACAGTCGAGCAGAATGTCTTGCAAAGTCAAGTGTGGCAAACCCAAGAGTGGGTCAGGGATTATAGTCACAAATAGCAAAATTGCTTATATAAAAATAATTGATAATATTAGAATGTATTATAAAATATATAGTACAAATGGTTAAAGCACTTAGCTGCTAGCCAAAAGGTCGAAGGTTAGAGTCCACGTCCACTCAAAGGGGCCTCAGAAGAAAAAACCTTCTGGAGCACAGTTCTGACACATGAGGTCACCATGAGTCAGAGTCAATTCAATAAAACTGGCATTACTGTTATTATTATGTGCTACTGTGTGCATATTAGTATGAAATGCAGTTAAGTTCATAATGCTTTGCTTCAGATCTAGGTATGATTATGCACACATATGAGTACGTGTGCTTAGTATATTGCTGTGGGTAGGAAAAAAGGAACTAACTCAACAACCAAGTAGCTAGTTGGTGACTCTGAAGTGTGTGCTCTAGGCCACTTTCAGAATGCCTATTCCTGACTGGACAACTGTGGTACTCAGGGTCAGACCACCAGGGCTGACCAGGCAAAGCAAGGAGCAACCATCATCTGGGAAGCACAAAGAGAGAAGGGACTTGGGGTAGAGATTCATTCCCTGAGTTCCCTTCCATCAACTGCACCCCACAGGCTTTTCCTTACATGACGCCCCTCAGGTACCATCTCTGGCGACTCTCAAGCTCCAATGCCTCACACCACCAAGGTCAAGCAAGACCTAAGTACCTCGCCAGCGAGTGATGCAGCTACCTTAGTGCAGGAGGGACATCTCAGAAGGACCTTGATTGATCATGAATTTAGGAAGGGAAAGTTGGCCAAGCCTCTTTTACATCACAAAGAACCTCTGACAGAAGATGCAGGAAGCCAAGGGCCTCCGGCACTGGACTGAAGGAGGAGGAAGTCTGGGTCAGAGTTAAACATTCTCAAACTCTGGTTCTCCTACCAAATTAAGGAGAGCATGTGCTTCTAAGGACAGATTTGTGCAGAAAGCACATGACATCTCCTGCTGCTCTGAGAACTCTTTTGGTTCATTGTTTAAGACAGAAAAAAAGCCCTTGGCCAGGTCTTCAGATAAACCTAGGCTTTGATTAGCATCTTTTTATTTGGAATAGCCTATCACAATTTTACACATAGCTGTGCCTCTCCCTTATGCAAATGTTATTTCATATTAAGATCACAAGCCAAAGGGGAGCTCTGGTGGCCTAGTGGCAAGGAACTGCAACTACAATCCCAAAGGCGCATGGTTCAAATCCACCAGATGCTCTGCCGGGGAAGGAGGGACAATCTCCTCCTGTACCAGTCAGATCTGATTTGACGGTACACTCACACAAAAATTTAAAAAAAAAAAAAAAGATCACAAGCCAAACAAGCAGATGTGTGTCCATCTCTCCCTCTCCCTTTTTGGGAGGCTCCTCAGTAACAAAGGCAGATTACCTTAGACGCAAGGTATTTCACCGCATCTTCTCTGGATCTCTGGTTTTCGGGAGGACCAGACCCAGGCCCAGGGGGTGACTTAGCTGTGTGGGGACCACTTGTGGAAGAGCCGGGTGAAAGTAATGGGGTGAAAGAGGGATCCTGGGAGGGATCTGAAGCTGCAAGGGAAAAAGACACCAATGTTATTATTATTTATAACATCACATCAAACAAGGAGTATCACTCATTGCCATTGAGGCAGAACTGACTCAGAGCTGAGCCCTCAGTACATTTCTGATGCTCTAAGTCACTTAAGAGAAGACTGGCTGGTGGATTCACACTGGCCAAGAGGTCAGTTTAGGTCAGTTATCCCCAGAGCTTCCTAGAATAAGAGATCATCATTGAACATGATTCTTTCCATCAAACTGATTGGTTCTATCAAGTATTTCAATAGGTAATGACTACACATGGAATAAACAGAACCAAAAAATGTCCCAAAGAGATTACAAATCTCTCTCCAGATTCAGTTATGAAAAACTTTTAAGAAAAATACAATTATCTTTTTTGTTGATGATGCTGTTTTTGTTGAAATATACACAGCAGAATATTTAGCAATTTAATAATTTCTACATGAAAATTCCGTGCCACTGATTAAATTCCTCAAGTTGCACTATTATTCTACTCCTTTTAATTGTTTCTCTACCATTACTGTGTGACAGACGCGGCCCTGGATGTGCTTACCAAGTTGTGCCAAGAAATCTGGAGGACAACCACCTGGCCAACTGACTGGAAGAGATCTATATTTGTTCCCATTCCAAAGAAAGGTGATCTGACAGAGTGTGGAAATTATTGAACAATATCATTAATATCACATGCAAGCAAGATTCTGCTGAAGATTATCCAAAAATGACTGGAACCACACATCAACAGAAAACTTCCAGAAGTGCAAGCTGGATTTAGAAGAGGCCACGGTATTAGGGATATTGTAGCTAATGTCAGATGGATCTTAGCTAAAAGCAGGAAATACCAGAGGAATGTCTGTGTTTCACTGATTATACAAAGGTATTTGACTGTGTGGACTACAACAAACTGTGGCTGACTCTGAGAAGAATGGGAATCCCAGAACACTTGGTTGTACTTATGTGGTTCAAGTGGACCAGGAAGCAGTCATCAGAATAGATCAAGGGAATACTGCATGGTTCAAAATTGGGAAGGAGGTAGGCCAGGAATGTGTCCCATCTTCATACCTTTTCTATCTATATGCAGAACAGATTATCCAGGAGGCTGGACTCTATGAAGAGAAAAGTGGCATCAGGATTGGAGGAAGCCTCATCAACAATATGCATTATACAGATGACACAACCCTGCTTGCTGAAACCGAGGAGGACCTGGAAGTGCTTGCTGCAGAAAGTCAAGGACTGCAGCCTTTAATATGGATTGAAGCTCAAGAAAACAAAGATTCTCACCACTGAGCCAACTGGCAGCACTGTGATGAATGGTAAAAAGAATGAGATTGTAAACAGCTGTAGTTTGCTTGGCTCCACAATCATCACTCTTGGCACCAGCAGCCGGGAAATTAAAAGATGAATTATGTTGGTAAAGTCTGCTTTCAGAGAACTCTCCAGAGTACTGAAGAGCAATGAAGCCAGTCTGGAGACCAAGATGTGCGTGATACAGGCCATGCTCTTTGCAATCACTTGCTGTGCATCTGAGAGTTGAACAATGACTAGGAATGACAGAAAAGAGAACTGATGCCTTTGAACTGCAGTGTCGGAGAAGAATATTGAATATACCATAAACTGCTAAGAGAACGGACTGCTAAGAGGTTCATCCTGGAGAGGGTTAAAACAAGCTGCTTGTGGTAAGCAAGAATTCTGAACTTTCATCTGACATAATTTGGACATTTTGCAAGGTGGGATCAGTTCTTGGAGAGGGACGTCATGCTTGGGAGGGTGGAGGGACAGTGCAGGAGAGGAACTGATTCAGTGACTGGGGTAATGGGGGTAGGTGTATCCGAGACAATAACATTGGCACAGGATAGAGCAGTGTTTAGGGCTGTTGTACATAGGGCTGCTATGAATCGCAGGTGACTTGAGGGCATATAACAACACAACAACAATCATTAACAACCATTAACGTAAACTAGACTCATCAAGGTCCTGTCTAACTACCCAAGTAGCTACTGTCAACTTGATCTCTTATAAATAATCAAGACTGGTCTTTCTTCTGCTCTTGCAGAAAGGAGCAGGGACTAGGGTACTTGCCTCTTTTACAAAATTTTGAGATACTGAGTATATTACACAACTTAATAATCAAGAAGAACAATATTTTAATGCATTATTTTTTAAAATGAATATTATTCCTCACAAAGTTAAAAAGAATTACCATATAACTCAACAATTTTATTCTAGGGTGTACACACAAAAGATTTGAAAGCAAGGACTCAAACAGATACTTGTTTTAAAAAGTTCCACTGTAGCATTTTCACAATAGGCCAAAGGTAGAAACAAAAATGTCCAACATTTAAACGGATACAGATACATATGCACAAAGGAATACCAGTCATCCGTAAGTAAGAAGAAACAGTACCGTGATACATCTTAAAACACACAGATGAGCCCTTGAAGCATGATGCCAAGAAAGCAGCTCAGAAACCAGGGGACCAATGTTACATGCCTGTCCATCTCTATAGATAAAGTAAAAGAGACCAACGTTTATTAGAGACTGTTAGAGACAGTTGGAAGAGAAAGGAGGAGTCACAACTTTCTGAGAACTGAGCATCTTCTAAAGGGGAGTTAAAAAAAAAAAAATCTCAAAACAGAGTGGCAACAGTTGTCTGCCATGCGGAAGAGAATCAATCTTATGGAACTGTACACACAAAAAAGGCTGAGAAGGCAAATGTTTAGCCATGTTATTTAAAAAAACAAAATGAATGGGGAAAAAATCCGTAAAGAAAATATGCTAACATTTTAAATAAAGTCAAGAACCTACAGACATGGCTAGAGGGAGGTGGTAAAAGATTCAAGTAAGTACAGGGTTAAGCTTACTATCTTAAACCATCTTTAGTTGGTATTTCTTGATATCAAAAATATATCCTCTGAATGCCAGAGTTTTACTTTCAGATTAGGATCTGACATTCTTATTTTTATTAATATTTCAGCAATGTTTAAATATTTGTTGTTTTTATATGTCATCCAGTCGCTTGCGATGCATAGTGACCCGTACACAGACTTAACCATGCTCTATCCTGTGTCAACCTCACTGTCTCTGACACACCTACTCCCATTACTCCAATCACGGAATTGGTGAATCTCATCGAGGGTCTTCCTCTCTTGTGCTGTCCCTCCACTCACCCAAACATGATGTCCCTCTCCAAGAAATGATTCCTCCTTGCAACATGCCAAAAGTATGTCAGATGAAGCTTCAGGATCTTTGCCTCCAAGGAGCAACCCGGTTTCACCCTCTCCAGGACAAATCTGTTCTCCTAGCAGTCCATGGTATATTCAACACTCTTCCCCAGCACCACAACTCAAAGGAATTAATTCTTTATCATCTCTTATCACTGTCCAGCTATCTACTGCATAGCACGCAATTGCAAAGACTATGGCCTGGATCAGGCACACCTTAGTCTCCAGCCTGACGTCTTGCTCTTTAGTACTCTGGAGAGGTCCCTGACAGCTGACTTTCCCAATGCAATTCATCTCTTGATTTCCTCCTGGCTGCTGGTACCAAGAGTGTTGACTGTTGAGCCAAGGAAACTAAAACTGTTAACTATCTCAATTTCTTCACCATCAATGATGATGCTGCCAATTGGTCCAGTGGTGAGAATCTTCGTTTTCTTGATGCTGAGCTTCAACCCATATTGAAGGCTGAAGTGCTTGACCTTCTGCAGCAAGCACTTCAGGTCCTCCTCAGTTTCAGCAAGCAGGGTTGTGTCATCTGCATAACGCAGGCTGTTGATGAATCTTCCACCAACTCTCATGCCACTTTACTCCTTGTACAGCCCAGCGTCTCAGATAATCTGTTCTGCATACAGATTCAAAAGGTGTGGAGACAGAATATATCCCTGACAAACTCCCTTCTTGATTTTGAACCAGGCAGTGTGTCCTCATTCTGTTCTGACTATTGCCTCTCGGTTCAAGTATAGGTTTTGAATAAGCACAATCAAATGTTCTGGGATTCCCATTCTTCACAGAATCAGCCACATCTTGTTGTGATCCACACAGTCAAAAGCCTTCGCATAGTCAATGAAGCAGAGATAAGATCTACAGAAAATAAAAAATTCATCTACCCACACACAGCCTAAACTATTCAAGCTGTTTTCACTTGATCAAATGTCTTTTCAGATCATTATTTCTTACCATTAGTGTCACATAGGCATCATTCTAGCACAAAAAGAATTTTGTTTTCCACTTTCTCTATTTATCATTATAAAGAAGTTCCCCACGATGTGTCATGGATCTTCATATTTTATATACTCAAACAAACAACAATTCATAGCTGTGGAGTTGGAACTGACTCAAAGCTAACTCTCCAGCAGATTTTCAGAGACTGCCCCCGTCTTTCTCCCTTGGAGAAGCTGCTGGATTTGAACCACCTGCTTTTGAGTTAGCAGCACAACTCCTTACCCACAAGGCCACCAGAACTCCCTTTTTATGTACTGTTTTTGTTGTTATATTCCATCAAGTCACCTGCAACTATGTACAATAGTTCTGAACCTTGCCTGATCCTGAGCCAGTCTCATTTCTCCAGTTACTAAATCAATGTAATAACAGTTCTGTCTTAGTGCAGCAACACAATTTAACAGATTGAAGGAGTAGAAATAGTAGGATCAGACCATGGTTTCAGCCATAGATAAATACTGGTTTTTATTAAATGTAATGAATGTAACTGTTCACCTTATTTAACACGTTCTTTTTAATGGCCTTATTGCACATAAAATGAGCAGTGAATAGGTAAACATTACACTACTTTTCTCCGTTTCTAATTTTGTCTTTACAATTTTGATAAATCCAGCACGGGAGACACAAAGGATTTAGAAAGAACAGAGTACAAAACCACTATGGTTTCCACATGGCTTATTCTGCCAAGAGTCTAGCCCTCGGGTTTGTGAACCACAAATCTACCAGGACACTTGATCAGGCCTCACTACCCCATTTCTGTCCAAGCACAAAGCAGGTCAAGGGTTAGAGTTTACAAGTACACCAAGGAAGAGCTGCCTTCCCCAGGTTATAGTTACATATGGACATATGGAAATCTTTAATAGTTCTCTAGCATATGATCACAAACCTGATAGGTAGCTTGAATAACTTAGGAAAAAAATTGGTAATTTATGTCTACCCAAACAGCAATTTCCTCTACCCATCAGATATTATTATAATAAAGTAGGCAAGTGATTAAAACACATACTTTTAGGTGATGAGCTGGGGCTGTTGGACGCGATCTGCCTCATGCGGCCTCCATGGCAGCTAAGTGCCACCAACTTTGAGATGATTGCCGTCTTCCCAAATCCCACATTTCCAACAACAACGGCGCCTCTATTTTCTGCCAGTTCTGTGTTCCTCAAGTTCTCTTCTATCTGGTGAAAGAGCCAATCCCTTCCCACAAACACAGAATCTGTTGTTATACTCGGCACTTCAAACAACAAGGGTTTCAACAAAATGTCTTGTGGCTTGTAGGGAGCAAATCGTGCTTAAAAAGGGAAAAAAAAAGATTGTTATTTTAGGAGAATGTCAATCATTTTATACATACACAAAAAACTCAGACTATATCATCACATCTGTTATTCTTAGTACAGATTTTAGCTTTAACCTACAAGGGATCCAAGTATTTCTTGTCTAGTTCTACTAGTACTTCTAGTAGGACTTTGCTTATCATATCATCTTTAACCTTTTTATAAGGTGTCTTTTAAAAAATAATTTCTAGGAACCTACAATGTTAGAGTGTTGCGCTACCAACCTAAAGGAGGGTGGTTCAATTCTACCAGCTGTTCAATGGGAGAAAAATGGGCAAACTCCTTCCATGTGATTTATTGCCTCAGAAAAGCTGCTCGAGGGTCAGCTATGAGTCCACGTGACAGCAATGAGAGGAGAAGTGGAGTCTTTTCTTGTTTCAATTATCTTCAAATGCACTGAAGACTGGAGTAAATGATGCAAGGGGCCACACTACATTTTGTTGGTTTAGCTGAAACCATAGTAAAGTGTGATTCCTTCACTTCTTTATGAGCAAAATGAAAATGCATGTTTCTAGAGACCAAGCCACTCTCATGGGGCATCAGGTGCTCTGTCTATGTGTCAAGGCACCCAACTACATAACTGTACATTCTGGTGGACTGAGGAAGTGCCCAGTAGGCCGATAAGTCAATTCCTTACTGGTAACAGATATATATATATATATATATATATTGCAGTATTATCTCCAAAAGTAAGACAATCAGTCACGTTTCATGAGAGAATCCCAATACTGTTAAAAGATGCCTCCACCATGTCTTGCAAAAAAGTGCTGAGTGCACAACCATGCCTCACATAATTTGTTTTTAAAAGTTTGTTTAAAACCAATTAGTGCAGACTTTGTGTGTTTACTGAATGAGCTAATCATGTTCATTGTCACAGCTGATTCCGGATAAATACCTTTAACTTCCTGTGCCCTACCTCCTGCTGTGCTGTGCCATGGTAATCTAATGGATGTTCGAAGTGGAGCGTTTCGCTGCCCATCTAAGTAACTCAGATCTTCTAATTTGGTTGAGCTTGTCGCTGTAATAAGAAACTGGAGTTTAGTCTCTTCAAAGTTGAGCTTAATTTCTTACTCAAACTGCTTTAAAATATAAACTATTAAGAAATTAAGTTTAGGCTTTCAACAAAATTTACTTAAAAGTGCTTTAGATTATTCTGTCTGCTCCTATTTATTTTTCCAGCAATATAAATATAGGTCATCAAAAGTGGTAAAAACAAGGGCTCCTCATTCTTAAGACAAAGCCATGCAGATACAGTTGCCAGAATTTTCTATTATTCCTGGAAAGAGACAGAATTCATCATGCATTTTGTGAGGAACCTTGGCAATCAAGTGCTACTCAGTTATGTTTCCGTACTTACTGCAAACATGTGTCAGGTACTGGATTTCTCTGTTTCCTGGGAACTCTTAGTTCTTGCACAAAATTCCTATCTCGTTAAGTGAGTGGTTTCTGTTTGGGTCTTCCCACATTACCAGGAATGCTTAGAATAAGTCTCAGCAGAACAAGGATCCACATGGATTTTACCAAAAAGAAATGTATTCCTAAATTTTAAATGTTTATGCACACATTTGTATGCACATGTGCAGATAAGTTCCTGGGTGGCACAAACAATATTACCTGGACTTTTAATCTAGAGGTTGGTGATTCAAACCCAGGCAATGTGTCATAGGCAAAAAAGAAAAACAAAAAGATAAACCACCTGGAAATCTGTTTCCAAAAAGATTACAGCTAGGAAAACCCTAGGTGGCCATTCTATTGTATAACATAGAGAGTCTATAGGACTCAGATCGATTTGATGGTGATGAGTTTGGAGTTTTGTGGGTTTTGGTCTACAGGGTCACAAATAAAGGCCCAAATTAAATTTCAGAAAGAGGAGGGATTTGGAAAGCAGAAGGCAAACACAAGGAAGAAATGGGAAGAATGAAATATGTATTTCTTGAAATTTTCAAAAGAAGAATCACATATACCTCTGACCAATAAATTCACAGAATATAGTACCTGCTTTAAAAAAGTCTCTATTCAAGCATACTTGTAAGTTGTATTATAAAAATAACTCATGCAAAAGATTTTTTCTACTCATAAGAAAATCTTGCAAACAAGTATGTGCAAGTTTTTGTCTTTTAAGAAAATTCTTATTTACTACTGACCTTAAACATATCTTCCAGTGAAATAAATAAAACACACATGTAACTGAGGACAAATGAGGAAGGAGGCTATGGGGGATACATTCCAAAGATTAAGCCTTACTTCTAAGGGTTGGTAAAATCATCAGCAGGATCAATCAGTGGAGGACAGAAGTCAAGTTGAGCCCTCTGTCTTAGAGACAAACTCAGGTTCCAATACCAGCTGCTACTAGCACTGTCTGTTCAGTCTTCACCGATTCTAATTCCCCTCCTGAGGTGTAATCCTTTCTTCTTCACTTCAGGTACCACCGGGTGGGTCATTCACTCACCACCTGGGAAGCTCCAGGAAAGCCCAATTCTTGGTAGTAATGCCCCATCTTGCTGCATTCCCTCAAAAGCCATTAAATATGTGCCCTACTCACATTCTTACAGCTAGGGGTAACACGTGGCACCATAAATTTGGTCGCTGAGTCAGAACTGACTCATAGCTGACACCCCAGAAGGTTTGCCAAGGCTGTAACCAGCACAGGAGGAGACTGCTCATCTTCCTCCTGGGGAGCCACTGGTGGATTCAAACTTCCAAAGAGGCACCACGTAAGTGTTAACAGTGCAACTCTTTATGGACTACACCGCCAGACAAACCTTTATGCTCCCAGGTCTTTCAGGTAGAACCTGGTTACATGTCATGTACATATTTATGTGAATATTCCATGCACAAGGACATCTACCATGCATATCTTTCCCATTTAAAAACCACCACCAAAAAAACCCCGAATTCCTAGGCAAACCAAAACAAACCAAGCTTTTACTGAATTGATTCTGACTCATGGCAGTCCCTCTGTATTGTAACATGAGCAGAACTGAGGCATGAGGTTTTCTCAGCTATAACCTTATGGAAATAGTTTGTCAGGTCTGTCTTCCACAGATGTTGGGTGGGTTTGAATGATGAACCTTCAGGTTAACAACTGAGATCTAATAGGTTTTGTCACCCAGGCTGTCCTTTTCTCCCAGTCCTTGGAGAAACAACCAAGACAAGTAGAACTTCAGCATGAACCGTATCTATCATCCCTCATCTCCTGACAACACAGCTTGGAACACACTTCCAGGCTCCTTTCTAACATCACTGTGAATGCGCCCATCATGTCAGAATCTGAGTGAGGAAGGACTTCATCCCAGAAAACATAAAGACACTTGCACATTAGAGCCTCAGGAAAAGGTTTTCCATTTCTCCACTTCTCTTAACCTCTTTGAATGTAACAATTTGTAACTTTGCAGTAGTTAAAAGCATTTTTAAAAATATTGAGAAATTAAGATAACTTAATGAAGAACAACCCCAAAAAAGTGCTCCAATTTCAAGTTCAGAAGGCAAGAAAGGTTAAGAAAGGATAAACGGGGAACACATGGAGGAAGTGGGAAGAGTGATTTTATATCATGTGGATCACAATCAAGGTTTCAAAACACGTATGAATAGTTGAACAAAAATCAATTTTCTCTGCAGACTTTATCCAAAATGTGCTGAGCCATATGTGAACCGGCTGAACTGAAGAATACAAAACTGGTCTGCTCTACAAACCTTGTCATAACTCATAATTTAAATTTTTTTTTCTTTTATAAATAAATCCCAGCTTGGCAAAGATGCAAAAGAAATGGTAATATTTCAAACATCTCTGTTTTAATGTGATGCCAACCCAAAGGCAGCCTCTCTGGCAATTCAAGTTCACCAAAGGCTCTGAGGGAAAAAGATAAGCAATCTCCTCGTTTGTAATTTACAGCTTTGGAAAATCAATGGAGGTTCCAACATGACAACATGGGGTTTTTAATTAAGTCAATACATTTTAGCTGCAAAGTATGTGACAAAGCCCCCATAGTAACTTCAAAACACTATCTGATGCTCTATTTCAACCACGACTAAGCTGACCCAAAATGGGTCATCTCTCTGCAGAGCTGCTAGCCACCACCTGCCAGCTACCTCTCTATTCAAAGTAATTTTCAGAGCCACTAACAGATATAGTGGAACCAGAGCAATGCAACCTCAGCTGTTTAAGCTATGTGTCCACCTACTATCAGCCTATACTGAGCAGGTGTTCTGTCCTCTCATATATGCCTGTGCTAGGTTCCCAGACATTGCTCGAAGTATCAGACTCACTGTCAGTATTTAACAGTAAAAACCTTCTAAATCTTAAACATGGCCAAGGGGGGGGGGGGAACCAGAGGGAAAGCAATAATTTCTTCTTGCAATCAAACTACTGCTAACACCTCTATAATTTAATAATACACTTACTCCATTTGTGTATACACGTACACACACACACACACACAGAGATGTCTAATACCTGGGAAAACAAGATGCTGCAAGAAAATGTTTTTGGAGTAGGGACAGAGGAGTGGAAGGAGCCCTGTTGGTGCAGTGGCTAAAGTGCTCAGTTACTTACAAAAGGTCTCATGCTGAAACCCACCAGCTTCTCTGCAGGACAGAGGTGATAGTCTGTATGGTTTAGACTTGGTTTAGGTTTATGGTAGACTTAGTTTCAGAAACTCTATGAGTCACTTCTACCATACAGGGTTGCCATGCGTCAGAACATATATGGTCACAGTGGGTTTAGGTGTTTGTGTCTTTTGAGCAGGAGAGTCTTTTCTAAGCAGAACAAAAAGATACATCTGCTAAAACTGCAAGTCATGTGACAGACTCAAATATTGAAGGGAAATGCCAGTAAGTTTAGAGCAATTTCCAGCTTGAATTTCATGAAAATTGGATGGTAACTATGCTTAAGGAAAAAGAACTCTGTTCTGTGAGCCATTAGAAATATTTTAAAAAGAAAAAGTAGTTAAAATTGTTGTTGTCAATTAATTGTCTTCGAGTTGAGCACAACTCATAGCAACACTATGAACAAAAGGCCAAATTAAAATTTAACAAGTTAAAATTGGTAGAGCCCAATTGTTTACCAGACTACTACATCTATGACAGTACTGTAAAGGGCTCTCATGCTGTGTATTTAAGAAGGAGAAAGGTGCTGGGTCCCACATGTTGATGGGAGGTGCAGAAATGCCTGGACGGCAGCTCTAAGCCAATCCCATCCAACAACACCTTCAGAGAAAACCTCAGGACAGGACACCATTTCCAAAACTCACCAAATTACTTTACAAAAATTGCCACTGTATTAGACATACCTGTGTTTACGCAGACAATTGGGGCTTTTCATAACAGGCTCGATTACAGGTACGGATGGCCTCCTTAGGGACTCCTCATAACATCCCTCGTGGATGCTAGGTCCCAGAGAGGTGCTGGGATTAGTGAGCTCAGTCATACCCTTCCGTATTCTGCCCACACACAAAAACACCTTTCCCACCAAACGGCAATTCACATATGTTAACAGCAAACTGGAAGCAGGACTGGCATCCACTTCCTAAATAACATACTTCCAGAAACTCTATGAACTTTGATAAATGTCCATAGTTGTAGAGGGGCTTGAGGCCTTTTGTTCATGGGGTCGCTATGAGTCATGCTCTACTTGAAGGCAATCAACAACAACAGGAAAATACTTCTAAGGGACTGCAGTATATGTTCCTCCAAAGGTCCTTAAACACAAATGGTTTCCTTCTAACATTTGAGCAGTATTTACCACCCTGTTTGTAACACCTGCCTTCTACTCATTAGCCAGACAGCCCTGAGGCCCGTAGTCAGTACAAACTGAACTGTATTTCTGCCCCCCCCCACCCACCCCGGTCAAATGATACTTGAAAAATCTTACAATTCCCTTGAAGCTGAAGTTCAGCCTTGGGGTATGAGGGTCAGCAAAGAAGAGTGTACCCAGGCGGCTCCTAACTTGGTAACAAATACTATAAAGTAAGGCCATTTGGTCTACTCATTAGCCAGACAGCCCTGAGGCCCGTAGTCAGTACAAACTGAACTGTATTTCTGCCCCCCCCCACCCCCCCCGGTCAAATGATACTTGAAAAATCTTACAATTCCCTTGAAGCTGAAGTTCAGCCTTGGGGTAGGAGGGTCAGCAAAGAAGAGTGTACCCAGGCGGCTCCTAACTTGGTAACAAATACTATAAAGTAAGGCCATTTGGTCTATTTCTTCCCCACATTATCCTCTTTTAGTCTTTAAAATATGTAACACAAAAGAAATGAGCAAACTCATTAGGCCACACAGGGCCTGCTCAAACCCAGAGGTAAACCCCTCCATTCCACAGGGGGCCTAGATCCAGGGCAGGCGCACAAGTTAATGAATGAGCACAGCAGAATCCTGCAAGCCCAGCTCTCCACTCACTGCAGTCACCTGGAAAACCTCAGTTCACACCCACTGTCACTTCACCTGGCAGGCGGCCACATAAAAGAACATGAGGCAGAAACCAGAGCCCTGAGCGGGTGCTTTTAACACTCTTAAAATGAATGTATTAATGTGTTCTCTAATTTTAAAATAGCTTGATCAAGTTGAATACACATTTGCCATTTGTTGAAACTAATAAGGCTGCCAAGTTCTGAATCAAGTTCTGCGGTGGTACAGAGACACTATTCCTCCTCAGGAGGCAAACGACCTAAAGGGCCAAGAGGACAACGTATTATGCTAAAGGCTGTGGGAGGACACAGAGCTCCATGGAAGAATCACCACTCAGGATTCATAATGTTCCCAGCTCTTCTCTCTGGCAGACATTCCAAATTCCTCTTTTGGAACAAGGCCATCCATTGCCTTTGAAAGTAAATTAGAGTTGTGCCTCAGAACTTTACCATCAGGGTTATTTATTTATAAGCTGCTTCAGTGATATAATGTTAAAAAGACAAAAACCAAAAAAAACCACAACCCTCAACCACCAGAGAGCTACACATCTTGAAGGAGCAAAGCAGACTACAGAAAAACCTTCTTATGCCAGGAGAAGCGGGTTCAGTGCCATTGAGCTGAGTACAACTCATAGAACAACAGATCTGAATCTTGCCTTATCTTGCACTATCCTATATGCCCAAATCCACTGTTGCAGTCACTTGTTAACTCTTGTTAAAGAGTCTTCCTATTTTTCACTGACCCTCCACCTTTCGAGCATGATGTCTTTTTAAAAGGAGAAAACTGAAACACTCTAACAGTAACAAAGAATGGCCAGGGCAAAGTCCCTTTTAAAACTCAATTTAGGAAAATAGAGTTGCTGGTGTTTTTTTGTTTTTTTATAAAAAAAATACATTTTATTTTATCTTTTTTGTGCGTACCGTCAAATCGGATCTGACTGGTACAGGAGGAGATTGCTCCTCCTTCTCTAGCAGAGCATCTGGTGGATTTCGAACTGTGTACCTCTGGGATTGCAGTGCAACTTCTTGCGGGAATGGAGTTTTAACAATCTAAGACCTTACACCAGATTTAAGAGCTCTGAAGCCGAGTTCCTTTCCACACCCATCCCAACCTACTCGCCCTGCTGGAGGACCACTCAGTTCTTCTGTCCTCCGACCAGCCAACAATCCCAGGTATTTGTGTCCTTCTCTCCATTCCAGGTGTGACATCTTGCTAAGCCTGTATGTCCCACCTGTTTTCATTTCCTTATCTGAATGCTCCCATTTCCAGCCATTTATGGTTTCTAGCTATGGGTTCCATTACAACTAAATTATCTAGAAATTCCACTTTGCTTCCATTAAATTGGGATTAATTATACAAAAAAACTTTGTGGGTTAGATTAGAAACTCTCAAAGCTAATAGTAACAATTCTGAGTAATGCTCTTCATTTACCAAGATGTAATAAAACGTCATTAATTCAACCAGGGAGAGTTTTTGTACTTCCTCCCTTCACAAACTGAGGTTGAGATTGTCCACATCACAGACTCACAACATTCCAGCACAGACAGGTCACTTAACAACCATGAAGCGTAGCCTTAGCATGCTTACAGATGGGTACACGCAGGCCTAGAAGTATCTAGACCACAAAGCTGACTTGTGAATGGATCCATTTCCTAGCTGACAACTTTTTACACTAGATCACAGGAAGACAGTGAACACAGGACACCTTAAACCCAGACAGAGAACCCGTCTGGGGGAAGAGAGGCCTTACCTGCAACTGAGTTGGGCCGTGGCATTATTAATGAGCTGGAGCTCTGAGAATAAGGAATTGGACCATCTCCAACTGAGCCTTCAGCCTTGGGCAGCAGGCTCTCCGCTGACCCTGTGGTCTCCTCTTCTGCCACTGGGGAGCAATTATCTGCCCTGCGATCATGGAGTACTCCCTTCTGAACCCCCAACCTTAGGCTTCCGTCTTTACTCCATTCCAAACTGGAGCCACTCCGGTCATCATTTTCGGATGAACTTGTAATTGTGGCTGAAATGAGAGACCAAAAAACTTTGAAGGAGACCAGGCAGAGCTGGGGCTATCTCGAGTTAAAACATACACCCTGCCCTCCCCATGATCAATGGAAAGTTTTCCGGTCCACAAAGATTCTTATCAAAGTGTGTTTCATACAGTGCATTTTGGCAAATTAGAAGAATGTTGCTTATCAGGGGAAATAAATAGCTAAATCACTCTACAGGGAAGAGGGGAGAAAAAAAAAATCACCTTTGATAAGATAATGAAAAAGCTGTCTAAAAGTATGTGAGAGTTAAGGGTAAATCTATGTAATTTGGAGATAATCTATCCTTTTTAACAAAGATGAATTGCTCACAAAAGAAATCGTATCTCGTTAAGTTCCTTTGAATCTTTAAATTTCCTTTTCCAAATTGACAACACTTGTTTATAAGGGATGAGACAACACAATGGTTAATGCATAAAAAATGCAGAAGAGAATCTATAATAACAAAAATTCAATTATAAAGTCAAGAAGAGAATTTGATCCCTGGTTTTAAACTTTTTAACATCTGTTCAAGATGATCCAGAGAGACTGGCTTAATTTTATTCCTTCAATGTCACAGAATAAAAAAACCCTCTCCATACAAGGCAGGGAAAATCCTAGTATGGGAAGTAAACTGCAAAATGAGAAATTAAAGAAAAGAAACACGTGAAAAAAACGGGTGGGGGATTAAAAGGTCTTTGTACAGAATCTTGACAAAAGAGCCAGATGAATAAATAAACGGCAGGATGAGGAAAGAAGCAATCTTCACCCTAGTGTCTGTAAACAACCCCTTCCAATTTGAAGGCACGGGGTCACACATGATCACACTTGCAAACACAAGTCCCCGGGCCACCCACACTGCACCACTGTCAACCTGACCCTGGCTTAATCCCGCCAAGCTCCTCCAGTACAGAGGCCATCTCCAGCAATCCCTTCATTCTCTATTGGTTCTCAAAAGCCAGGCCTTTACCTGTAAGCCTGTTAAATGGGAGCACACCTGGCTAAGCACATTTAGACCCCAGCTGCCTGAATTAAGTAACAAACTATGGTGGCATTCGCTTTATTAAAAGGCTGGAATTTGCACAAATGGAGTCAGTGATTTAGGATCAGAGATCTATAGGAGTTTTGCTTTGTTCTTTTCACAATGATCACAATGAGGTTCAGAAGTAATTTTTTAAAACAACAACAATAATAATAAAAGACCAAACCCAAATAAACATTATACTCACTGTGACTTCAGGGCATCCTGCCACCAATTCCAAATGTCTTTACATCTGATGTTTAGCCTGTGCCTATCATCCTCTGTGTCTCCTAATTTACAGACCTCACCTACATACTAATTATTAGAAGAATCTAACAAATTATTCTCGTGGTCTTTTTTGTACATGTAGTAGACGCTCTGAGCTCCAGTAGTCTAGTGGTAAGGAGTTGTGCTGGCAACTCAATGGCACATATTTCAAACCCACCAACTGTTCCATGGGAGAAAGATGGGCAATCTCCTTCTGTGCAATTAAATGCCTCTGAAAATCAGAGAGAGGGTCAGCTATGGGAGGGTACTCAACAGGACACAACAATAACAACAGCAGCAGCAGCAGGTGACCTAGAAATGTTTCCTTCATGAATGAATGAACACATGACAAGCTTCGACTCCACTGAGTTCAAAGGCAGTACAATTCACCTCACTGTTATTGGTTCAAGATTATCAGAATTAAGTCTCCTGCCAATGTGTAAGCTGGTATGAGGCATGTGATTTCTTTTGGTGTTCATTTCTTCTGCTAGCAGTATCTGCCCTCCTAGTTATCTCCTACAGAGCTCTGGTGGCCTAGTGGGGAAGGAGTTACACTTCCAACCTTAAGGTGACTCAATCCATCTGCTGCTCTGTTGGAGAAAAACAGGCAATCCCCTCCTGTGTGATTTACAGTCTGTGAAAACCCTTCCGAGGATCAGATATGAATTGGTTCCAACTCAATGGCAATGAGTGAATTATCCTTTTCAATTAAAATCATAGCCTGCACTGCATTTTAAAAATTCATGAACATAAGGACAGACATGAGTCCAACCTAAAAACACTGATGAGGGCAACAGCAAATAGCTAACATATATGGATGGCTTTTTAATACATCAGGCACTATTCTAAGTGCTTTACAACAATACTCTATGTTGGGCTTTTAACTGAAAGGTAAATTCACCAGCCACTCAAGAGAAAGTGAAGCAGTTTCCACCAGTAATGATTTATGGCCTCAGAAACCTGATGGAGGGTGGCTGTGAGTTGCAAACAATTTGACAAGAGAGCGCTGGCTGCTAGGTATTCTTAAATTGAAAAATAGAAAACAGAGATACCATTTGACCCAGCAATTCCACTACTGGGAATATACCCTAAAGAGACCATAACCAACATCCAAGCCGATATATGCACACCCATGTTTATTGCGGCTTTGTTCACATTAGCAAGGAGTTGGAAACATCCTAAGTGCCCATCAACAAACAAATGGATAGAGAAGCTGTGGTATACACACACAATGGAATACTATGCTGCATTGAAAAACAAGGAACTCATGCAATATTATTCAAAACGGGTGACCCTGGAGGACATTATGCTGAGTGAAATATCTCAGTCACAAAAGGATAAATACTGTATGGTGAATGAGGCTGACATCAGGGTGGGGTTAAGTGTGAGAAAAAAAATAGATAAATTATGCATATTGCATTGAAGCCTATGAGGGAGAGAACAGTTTAAAAAGAATATATTTTAGGGCATTATGGCTATCATAAAAGTTTGGAATGAGGGTTCCAGAGTGGAGTATACTTGGGGTGGGAATGGGGGTGTGCATACCAATGAAGGAGTTTTTCTTTTGGTTTTTCAAGGAGAGGAGCGAACTGGGGGGGGGGGTGGGAGTGTGTGTGGGTTGGGTGGGGAGAAAAGTGCAACAATGAATGAATGGAAATTCACAATCTCTGTAAATGTTCATTGAAATTAAAAACAACAATAATAAAATTTTAAAAAATGAAATATAAAGTCAAGGTGACACTTTTCTTCATTTACTTTCTCTAAGTGGACAAGACTGAATGGTATAATTTTCAACTTTCATTCAAGTTAAATTTGCATCGTGAGGGTCTGCATGCTACTATGAGGCTGAATAGGTTTCAGTATAGTATCAGGACTAAGATAGGACTAGGAAGAAAGGCCTGGCAACCTACTGCCAAAAAGCAATAAGTGACATGCAAACCCCATGGATCACAATGGTGTCTACCCACAACCAAGTGTAGGGTGAGTACATGGCAAAGAACATGATTCGGCTGTAGATGGGTTATCATGAATCGAGTTACAGGCCAATCTGATGGCAGCTGACACCAGTAGCAGCAAGTGCCACAAACACACACAACAAAAGAACTAGCAAGGATCTGGGTCCCTGCTTAGACTTTAAGGATCAGGAATAGAAATTCAAACCTCCCAAATATCTACTCCAACTGATGGATCCTCAAGCAGATCCCCAGGAGGTACTGAGGAAAACAAGCAAGGTCTGGGAAGGCCCGTGGACTGCAGCGAACCCATTTCCTACAGTCCAACAGCAGGTGACATGGTTTAGAGGGTGGAAGTGTTTAGGTCCTGGCAGGGGAGAATGGAAAATAGGTGTGGGGAGCAGACCTCCAGACGTAGGACCAGTAGCAGCCATTTTTAAAAAGTTCACCTGAGAGAAGCATTTCAAGCAGCTCTGAAACCACACACTCGCCCACAGAAGATGCCCCACTAAGATTTCCCCACCTCACCATTATCCCTCCCTGTGATCCAATACCAGATCCAACCCACACAGCTTGAAGCACAGCCAGTGTGTTTTCATCTGGGCTCAGCTCCTAGTCACCCTTGAAGTGGTACAGATAGAGGCTGGAATCAGGTTTCCCAACACAACCAAGGATCATGTCAAACAGGGCAGCCCCACCATCTGCAAAGAGTAAGCTGGTTCTTACCTCAACAACAAGCTACCCAAAAATATTTCCTTTTCATCCAAGGTGAGATAAATTAAAAAGTTATCTCAGTAACCCTCAAGTTCTCTCTCTCTCTTTCTCTCTCTCTCTCTCTCTCTCACACACACACACACACACACACACCCACTGAGACAAAGCTGTAACTAGGATGAATTTTTCTTTTTTAAAAAAAAACTTAGAGACTATAAAAGCTAATTGTTTTACTTGTACTTGTGGCATTTACTTGGGGCTAAATAGTCTTTAAAGTTGCCTAACAACTCAAAAAGTCTAACTTTATTCCTTCAAACAAGATAAGACACCAGCTTATGTCGGTTGAGGTTGATTGAGTCTCAGCCACTCTTTCAATACACTGGATTCTGTAGAACATGGGCCTGAATGTCCATCGAGCTGGGAGGTGAGGCCATGCCGCCCTGGTTAGTAGTAAGCTAGTTCTGGTTACTCATTGATTCACATGTGCTACTTTTGATTCTAAATGTATTCGAACAATGCCTTTTAGCCAGGTTAAAATTCCCTTTTTATCTTCCCTGCAGCAACACAATCATCTACCAGACCTGGTGGTGGCATGGAACTGGAAGATGTCGAAAACATTTTCTCATTTCTCAATACATTATGGCGTGTATGTAGCCACCATACCCCTGAGGACTGGTAGACAGGGCAAGGTGGACTAGTCCCTCTTTACAGATAGGAGGAAACCAAAGAGAGAGTGTCATCATTGTGATCTCTCTTCCTCACACACACACTCACACTGGAAAATCCAATACCAGTTCTTTGGACCACATGTGCAATACACTTGTAAAACTTCCTCTGCCTTGCACAATGTTCAGCATCCAAAGCAGTTCTGTAAACATTAGGGGCTCACCAATTCAAGGCTAAAACATATCTTAAGATTATGAAGTTGGCCTTGGTAGAAATTATAACCCAGTCAGTCATCAAATGTTTTGCTATGTAAGATTCTGCAATAAATTTTATTCCTTCTCCTTCCAAACTTCTCTTTACTAAATCTTTTATC